GTCTGCTACCAACCTGAGGAGTCCAGGGCCACACTGTCGGCCCAGCATGCATCAAAAGACCACCAAGTGGTTGTCCACACCTTGTTTGTGGAGCCCTTTAACCCAATCGTTGGAGCTCAATACATAGCTCTGGGCGAGATAGAAAAAAATGAGGGTAAGAGGAGACTTTATCTATTATGAGTGTGAAATATTTTAAGTATTGGCTTGGTTTTTAAACTGCAGTTTTCTGTTTTTCTTGGATCCAGTCAAAAAAAATGGACTGACAATGTTAAAACCTTCATAGTGAAAATTCATTGGTGAGCTTTTACAGAAGCAGCAGTTGTTGTGTAACCAAGAAGATTTCTAGACTGTTATTGGGAAAAGAGAGAAAACATTGATGAACTGGGGTTAACCTGGTACCATAGTAACTGCTGTGTTTGTGTTTTTTTCCTTACCTCTTGCGTAAAGTTTAATTCCCAGTATTTGTTTACCTCCATTTAAATGTAACTCTTACTCATTTAAGTAACTATTTTAAATAGTTATCAAACTCTTGGCTTCTATCGCCTGCCTGTGTCTGTACTTTGTTGCTTCACAGAGGTTGGTGTGATGGTCCAGGCCCGGGTGCTGAACTGTGTTGATGGTGTAAACATTGCCCTTCTACAGAAAGCCATCAGTGAGCAAAGGAGCTTCTTCAAAGAGAGGGAGAGCAAACAGGGTGATGCTGCACAAGCTGCAGATGCAACCTGATCACGGTTGATTCTCCTGGTTTTCCAGGGGGGACTCTATGATTGTCAAGGCTCCACTGTCTGTCACTTTTGCTGTTGTGTGAACTCCAGTGAAATTTACAACTGTTTGCTTCAGTGTAAAAGACAGAAGTTCAATTGCCAACCTCTGACCCTGACAGCTTTCTGCACTTTATCAGGGGTTGCTTTTTAACAATGAAAACTCCAAAGTGGTGAAGTGATATCAGGCTTCCATGTTTGTTCACTGAAGAACTAATAGCATTGTGTCTGTGACTTGTGAATATGTTGCATTTCCAGCTCTTTCCATCAGTGCTGAGATATCTGATAATAATTGTTTTCAATGATGGGATTTTTTTCAGGTGAAAAATATCAGTCTTAACATTATTTCTGATGTCTGTAGCAAAAGATGTGATATTTTCTTCATCATTACTTATCATGCAACCCCTCAGATCTGTCCTAGCACTTCTTTGGTGGTCTTCATCCACAGGTTGGAAGCCGGTGCTTAGTATATTGGAAAATAGCATGTACTCATATACTGGATAGAGTGGCGCCCATTGTTTATCATGTTGTACCAGTGTATAAGGACAGCCTGTTCTTTCTGACACACTTGTGGTGAATTAAATAAGAAGCTGTGATAAAAGACACTCAGATTGTGTGTGTTTAACTGGGTTCTGGTTGTGAAATTGAAAAAATGTTTGGTGAACCTGCTTGTGTTTTTTATTATAAAGACACTCAAAGTATTATAATTTAAATTTATTGATATTTGTTTCTTCATAAAGTATCAAACAAGATTGAGTTCAAAGTGAACAGTGTCAAGGACAGCCCATGAGTAATACAGAATCAAATCAATCTTGGCAAACAGCATTGCACCATGTCCCAGTATCCCTAATAACACAATAATATCAAAGATAAACTGCATTTATACTCTGTTTTTTTTTTTTTTTTTTTTAAATTAAATCAAAAAAGAACATCTGCCCACATCAGACATGTTTGGTAAACAAATGCAACTCAGCAGCAATCATTTTGGCGAGACAGAAAGTTTTGCAGTAGAAGACTTTTCCTGAGTCAAAATGTACATTGTAAATAATGTATGGATTTCATATGGGTTTCCCATATCTAATAGTACATTTTTTTTATTTTATTTTATCACAGCACTCCACAGACCAGATAACTCCAAACAGTAAAAGCATCTAGAATCTTGAATACCTAGAAGTGTAACCAGATTCTCTGGAGGAGGCCGGCAGCATCGGTAAGCCTGACATTGGGTCTGTCCTACAGCGATCCAGAGCTTGTTTGTAGCTGATCCTCTCCTTTGTAATTGGGTCAGTAATATCTTTGGGGTAGACGGTCTCAGCTTGCAGCTCGCGCATCATCGTGCTGTCGATCATTTTGGACCCAATGGCATCCATGATGCTGACTCTGCGACCAGTTTTGGGGTTGACCAGCCCTCCGGTCAGGTGCTGGGCCTCCATGTAGCGAGTGGCAGTTTCCTTCGGCATCCAGCCCTTCTGAACAGCTTCTCCCACAGACAAACACTCTCTGGTCATGGGGTCTTCGACTCCTGCGAAAGCCTTTTGCGCATTGAGAAGCCGCTGAAGCTGACTGTCTTCAATGAGGCCTCTGCTTGCTGCCTTGTGAACTGTGTATCTCTCTTTGCTGTGGATGTCAATGATGCCACCCGTTGCTGCCTGAGCCTCCAAAAGCCTTTGGGCAGTGGCGGAGTCGATCAGTTTACGCATGGCGGCACTCCGTATTGTAAAGCAGGAGTCAGTCATTGTATCCACTACTCCGGCAATCGGGAGACCTTCTTTAGCAGTGGACATGTCTGGTGCAGCTTGTTTCACCGGTGGGGTGGACTTTGAGGGGATTGAGTTGAACTGGGGCTGCTTCTTATTGTCACCTGCAACCAGCAAGGCAAACTCTGAGATGGGAAGCTTGCCTTTTTTGTACTGTTGTAGATCATACTCTGTCAGCCTTCCCTCCTTCAGGGCATTTTTGATGGAGTACTGCTTTCCACTCTTGCGATCCTGCAGCACAGATGTCTCCCCTTCTGGTCCCATGGAAGTGATCTCCTCCCAGTCGCACTCCAGCTCCTGCAGATTAATGTACTGCGTACGGTCGATCAGGCCCTGCAGGTAGGCATCATAAGGAGACATGTCTTTGCCTGTTTCTGGATCCAGAATGGTGATTTTGGTGGAGACGTTGGTCTCTTTGGTCCTCGTCTCTGCATTCTCCTCTTTCTGCAGGTTTTGCAGAAGCTCACGGATGGTACTGTCTTGCATATGGATCTTGTCTTTTTCATCCAGGATCTCTCTCTCCAGTCTCACGATGTCAGACCCAATCTTAAGGCTCCTCTGCCTGCTCGTCTGCGTTCTTTCACTAATTAGTCGAGTCTGCTGCTGGAAGGAAAGGCTGATGTCGTGTTTCTTGCTCTCCAGCATTCTAAGTTCTTGTGCGAGGTCGTCCTTCTCCCTCTGTAAGGCACCTCTGTTCAAAGTGAGGGTTGTCTCCTCTCTTGAAGTGCTGGATTTGGAGCTCATCAGATGGTTGATTTTATCATTGAGACGTCTGATTTCATCCTCCAGGTCCTGTCGGGCAAATTTACTCTGAGACACCTGTTCCCTCAGGCGATCCCTCTCAGCTTCAACAGCCTGGTCTTTCTCAACACGGACGACCTCTTTGTACACCGTCCTTTCACCAGACTTCTCTTTCTGCAGGATCTCAAGCTTTACAGTGATGTTACGGATTTCTCTCTCAAGACGCATCATGTCGCTGGTTTCCTTGTCCATGTCTGACCGCAAACCGCTTGTCATCCTCTCCAGTTTGGGGTCTCTCTCAACCTTCAGTACTTCCTCCACAACTATACTTTCCTCAACAGGAGGAGGGGCATTTTCCAGCTGTTTGATGCGCAGTCGGATCTCTCTGAGCTCAGACTCAGCTTGAATCCTCTTCTGGCGCTCGTCGCTCTCTCTGAGGGTCCTCTCTTTGTCTTCCACCTTTGTTCTTAACTGCTGTAACTCTAGCTCGATCTGACGCCGGGTCTTCACTTCATCATCCAAGCTCCTGCTGAGCCTTTCGTGGTCGACTACTTGCCGTGGATCCCTCTGTAGGCGTACAACCTCCTGCACAACCACTTTCTCCTCTGGTTTCTGCCTCTCCAACAGGATGTATTTGTTTTGCAGGTCAAACACCATCTCTTCAATGGAGCGTCGCAGCTGTGCCTCTTCCCGCACATCCTTTCTCAGGCGGTCGGCTTCCTTCTCCAGTAGTGGGTCAGACTCATACTTAATGACTTCTCTGGTGACCAGTTTGGTCTCTACTTTGGACTTTTCAGCTTTCCATTCATCTCTGTCTCTCCTGAGCGTTCTCACCTGCTCCTGGAGGGAGTTGTAAGTGGTGTGCAGATGGTTGACCTGATCATTTAGCCTCTGAATCTCTCTCTCATTTTCAGGACTTCTTTCCTCTTTAACCACCTCTTGGAGAACTTCCTTCAGTTCCACTTTGGGCTTCTCAGAACGAACGATATTCACGTCAGTCGTGACATTGGTGATCTCCCTGTCAAGATCAGAGCGCTGCTTGTTGCAGTCTTGTATGTCTTTGCGGATCCGCACTATCTCCACCTCTGTGTTGGGGTCAACCCGGTAGATCTCATTAACAATTTCCTTCACCTCGACTCTTGGTTTCCAGTCCTGAACTTCTCTGTAGCGGTTGTGGAGCACCATCACTTCTTTGGACAAAGAGTTGTTTTCAATCTTCTCCTCCTCCAGGTTTGTTTGAATCTTCTTTAATTCGCTGACAAGGTCGGGGTCTTGTTCAATCTTTTTGACCTCTTTCGTGATGAGCTTTGGCTGGATGTTGGGAATCAACCTCTCAAGTGCATTAATCTGACTTCTTGTTTGGAAGATTTCATCATTTATGAGCTTGGTCTTGTTGTTCTCTTCAGAAATTTCTGTCTCAAATGATCGCACTGCTCTCAGCATCTCTGGGTTTTTTTCCACTTTGATCACTTCCTTCTTAACCACCCTCTCTTTGATGGGTTGTTTCTTCTGCTGGAGAATTGTGACTTCTGTCTTCATCTGAATCTGCTCCCCATCTTTCACTCGAACTTCATCTCGCATCCTTGATATTTCATCTCTCAGCTTAGCAGCCTCTACATCCAGCTGGGGATCTTTCTCAAACTCTGTCACCTCTCTAGTCACCAGTTTTGGTGGGGTGTTTTTGAGGGTGTCCGCCAGGATGGTGAGTTTGCTGTTTATTAGCTCAACCTCACTCTGGGTGGTGCTACGCTTCAGGGACTCTTCATGCAGTTTGCTCTGCAGATCAGCCAAATCACTTTCCAGTTTTGGGTCACGGTAGTATTGCAGCACTTCTTTCTCCTCAACCCTCTCCACTCCTCTGCGACTCTTCAGTGACAGCATCCTCTCTTTGAAGGTTCTCAGGTCTGTCTCAGTATGAGCTGTCCTGTCCTTCTCATCATCCAACTCTTTCATCAGACTATCTATCTCAAAAGCACTCCTCTGCTGGCTTTCAAGCTGCACTTGCTGCTGTGCCACCATCTGAACTTTCTCTTCATTCTGCGGGAGGAAAAGCAAATTATTTGATGTCAATCAAGTCACTACATGATTTGTGATGTAGCTTAGGTTTAATGAAGAACATCAGCTACATTGAAAAGGTCATAAAAAGCAATAATAAAAGTTTTCTTACCTGGGAAAGGAGATTCTTAGCCAAGCCCATCTGTTTTTGGCGTTGGGTGTTTTCTGCTGTTGCTTCAGCGTAACGGTTCACCAAATCTTTTTCCTGTAATTAGCAATACATCAATCACCTTGATCTTTTAATAAAAGTAATACATTAACATTAAGCTAAAAATAAATAAATGTTACCTCTTTCTGAACCGTATCAGAAAGTGTGAGCACACGAGGTTTCTTTGGAACAGTGGCTCCAGCATCCTCCAGTGTGCTGTTGTATTTGTCGACGTTGGTCTCGTACTCCTGCACAAATGTAAAGTTTTCAGTCGTTTGTGGTCTTTTTTTATAAATCATTTTTGCAGTACAACAGCCACGAGTTAGAAAGGTGATACATAATATTATATTATATAGGTATATATATATTATAGCAGATTTGAAAGTTATTTCTTTTCTTTTTCTGTTGTGCTAAAATCACAAGTGTTTCAATAATTTGTATAATGAATATCACTTTCATACATTTATTGAGTCCTTATTTTATATTATATTTATATTATTTGAGTCTTACATTGAGTAGATTCTGCAGGTCTTGCGACAGGTCAGCCATTCTGTCAATGTCATCCTGCTTCCGCTTCAGGTCATCCACCACCCTCTATGATGAAAAGTATAATGAATATAGTGAATTTCCACAGATTTATTAAGGAGGAGAGCTTATAAATCAGTAAATCACTGACAGACAAAGGGGAACAGCAGAAGTTAAAGGACCCTCCACTGTTCTCCATCTGATACGTCCATAAAGTCAGGAGACCGTCTCACCTCTTGAGAGCTCTGCTTAGCAGCGATCTGAGACACATCGTCGTTGGGGTTTATCTGGTTTGTCGGCAGATTGTTCAGGAAGGAGTTCAGGGATTTGTTCGCGCTCTGGAACTCCTGGTTCTTGGCTGCAGACTCTTGTAAGATGTTTTCTCTGTGAGGGATATCACAGGTATAAAATATAAAACTATGTAATCAGAAATGTCTGGTTCGTAGTGGTTGTAAAGGAGCGAAGCTGTAATCTAGTTACATGCAACCTCACCACATGTTGCATTTGTTTGTTCTGTGTTGAGTCTAACCAAAAAGTGATTTCACATTGAAGCTGAAGCAGAAAAAACTATCTGCATTTTAAAAAATAGAGCAACATTAGAAGTACTAGGTTTTATATAAAACAAAATATGTAAGTTATATGTTTTTTCTTCTTTGCTATCGCTGTAGGTTCTTGTGTGTGGATAAAAAGTCCTGCTGAACTAATAAATGTCTTGTGTAAGCAAATCTATTGACTTTGCAATTAAGCTGAAGTGACTGAACCGGTGTGTTCAGAGTGTGAGTCTCACCTCTCCTTCAGCTGGTTGGCAACGTTTGTGTAACGGTTCTGCAGCTGCTTGACCTCTGTTTTCTGGCGCTGGATGTCGGGGCAGTACTCCTGGTAGCCCTGCTGCAGAGAGCTGCACAGCTGCTCGGTCGTCTCCAGATCCTGGCTCAGCTTCTTCATGTCGTCCTGACCTGCCGCCACGGCCTTTCGCTGGTTCTGAATACGACAGAGGAGACTTTCAATTTAACATGCATCTCAAATCGAAGTAAGAGAATCGTGGTTTGTGTGGCAGAGATAACATAGTAAAGGCACGCGGAAAAGCAGCTTTTCTCACCTGAATGTCATCAGCGCGGGCTTGAATAGCATTTGGGCTGTCAGAAATGGGACTGTCTTCACTCAGCTTTTTCTCAAACCCAGAGACAAGACCATCCGCCTTCTTAATCTGACTCTCCAGGTTGAGAGACGCATTTGCTCTGAAAGAAGCATAAATGTTGCTGTTAGTGTACTGACATTATCCAGACACACAAGGTAAAGATACACAAAACCTGTAAAATATGACGTGTTAATGCTTTTTTTTATCATCTGAATCTGAAACAGTTTTTGTGTGCATTTTTCACTGCAACATAAAGTCCTGTACTTGTGTGGAAACTGCACAACCATGGCTGGAAGTAGAGAGGACTGAAAAATATCTTCACTAGGACACAATTCTAATACTATAAATTATCCAAAATATGTAATAATAAAAATTTTTAAAAAAAGAAAATTGAATTTCTTTCTGTCTTTTCTTTTCTTTTTTGTTTTGTTTTGTTTTGTTTTGTTTTGTTTTTTTAACAGTAATTGAAAAACCTAAATTCAACATGTACACCCTTTTTCCAAGTGTTCACAGGTGTTACCAAAACAATTGTAGCTGTACAGGCTACATACATTTTTAATTTGTTCCTGTACTTGTCTCCTATCGACCCCCTGTTCAAACACTGGCTGGTTTTTGTCACGTGACTGTTGGTTGCAACTGAGTAATTCATTGTCTGGATGTGTGCAGTATGTCCCCCCCAAATTATTAAATTGCACGTGCACAATAAGGTAATATTTACTGAAAAAAATTACAAGGGTAAAATCATATCTATCATTTTGTGCATTCTTTGGGAAAACTTTGATGAACATTTTCTTTTTATTGGAGACAAAACCCTTCACTACATCTTTACTCACACCCAAAAAAACTGAAACACTTACTTCTTATTGTAGAGATCAGCAAGTGCAGCGATGCCGTCGTACTTGTTGTTGGCAGCGCTGAGTTTGAGTGGCAGTGCGGAGGAAGTACCGCTGGGATCTTTAGACAGGAGCGGCTGCAGGTCGGCCTGCGCTGCCTGCCTCTGCTGCTCCAGAGCCTTCAGGGCCTTGGCAGCTTCCTGTGAAGGGCAAATGTGGATACTTTAGACACTTACATCAATGAAAAGCATCTGGAGTTACTCCTTTGTCAAACTATGATGTGAATTTGGCCTCAGAAGCTTTTGCAAAGTTTCTAGAATATCATCATTCTCCATCTGTTCTCCTAAAGGAGTGAAGAACAAGTGGATGTAGAGTACCAGTGCATGTAGATCCAAACATGAGGGAGGATGACGACGACTCAACAAAAGCACATTATAGTAATATAAGAATAAAGCACCACATTTCATTACAGCTACTGTGTTTATGCTATGATATGTAACTTCTAAGTGTCGTAGCATACTGTGGCATAACCTACTGCACAACCAGTGTGTGATGATGAACAGAAACTTAGAGCTACTGCGCATAACATTCAGTAAGATATCGTTCTTCTAAACTTAAGGAACTGATAGAAAGTCAAACACAATAAAGTTTAGATAGAGTTTTCTGGTCTCACCTCCTGCTCCTTCAGCCTCTTGGCCAGATCTCCGGCCGGATCGCTGCGGCTCAGCGGAGCTCGCAGGCGGCTCAGCATGCTCTCCTCAGCGTTGACCAGGTCATCGTCCAGCTTGTCCAGCTGCTGGGACAGAGCGGTGACTTTGGGGTCCACTGGGCCAGAAGAAACTGGAGCTGATTGAGGAAACAGAGAAGATAATTCACTAACTAATCTCATTGTGGCCTTAAAACTATTATATATACTTTATACATATATTTATATATAGAATATGGAGCTAGTCATTCTTTATAGCTAGGATAATGGATGATTTTATTTAAAGACAACAACCTGACTTTTGGGCTCTGGAGACGTCTGATTTGTGATTCTTCAGCGATGCTGCCAGTGCTGCTCTTTTCTTCTTGATGTCAGCCAGCTCACTGCCCAAACTAATGATTAAAAAATATGCAAAGAGAGGGAAACAGAAATGTTAACAGCTTTACTGACATACTCCTGCATCGGCGATTGTAGCTGCACAATATTACAGCTTTGCATTACTTACAGATCCACTTTGTCAATGGCGTCTGGGTCAGGTGGTGGGATCTGGAAACAAACTCCCGGGAAGGTCTTAGTTGCCCCGTCAGTGGAGACGACGTCCCAGTTCTCAATGTCTGAGTTTGATTTCAGGGTGAACTTCTCTCCTCGTTTCAGAGAATCCTACATTATGATGATAAAGAAATAAGTAAATTAGCGAAGAAGGCGAAGAAAAGCGTGTAAAGAACAAACTCTCATCTGCAGATATTTAGATTTGTGTTGTTTCTCTGAACATGTGACAGGAGTTGGATCTGCACCTCGTCTGTTTCCCAGTCACACAGCGACTCCACTGTGATGGGTCTGTTGGGGTTGACGCGTCGCAGCTTCAGAGGAGCGATGGTGGTGCTGCGTCTCCTCAGGTCGGCCAGCAGCTGCTCAGAGTTTTCGACAGCCTTCTCCTCCCCCTGGTGAGAAACAGACGTAGAGAGAAATGTGCCTTGGAATTAGTCATGGCAACATGGCAGCAGAATGAAGGCTGTACCAAAGTTTTATCTCTAGTTAGTTTTTGAATGCATTTTTTTTGTGCTTGGAGTATCCTGAACGCACAGAAACGAGTGAAATACCTCACATAATGGCCCTTTATTTAATATTATTCCATATTTAAAGTATAGGAAACTTGATGGAGTATGGCATCGTATATTTGTCGGTCCTATATTTATATTTTGTGCTGTGTGTATTGATTTTGGAAGACATATTGTTTTTTGTGTGTCTCTAGGGCTTCTGTTTTAAAATCTATCCAGGCCCTGCAGATAAAAAAAGAGTCTATAAGATTATTTTTTACTTATTTAGAGTTAGTTTCTGTGAACATATGAGCATGCAAATGTATAGCATACAACATTAAAATAGGTAGATCAATTTTTCAAATGCACTTTTCTGGACTTTTTCTGCAAAAACATATTTTGTCTTCATCATACACATGTTGTGCCATTTTCTCCTTTTCAGTATTCTCCTCTTACTCTTTTTCCTGTTTTACTGACTTTCTTCAGTTATTTTTCTCTCTCATATGACTAGAGTCCTCTCTAGCTCTTCCTTCCATCGCTTCATTCTTCCTTAATCCTTAAACAAACCTGGCTTTAAAGTAATTACAAGTTGAATTTCTGGCCGTCAGTACTGGACTCTGCCTGTGTAATTGTGACTCCAACGCTACCTCGAGCTGCAGCAGCGTCTCTGAGTTGCTCTTCTTGCTGATGGACTTGGGGTCGAGGCTGTTGTTGAGTTTGGTCAGCGTCTCTGACAGCTGCTCTGTGTCCATTTGGTACTGGAAAATGGGATCAAACAAGTTTTTTTAATCACAAAATCTCCTCATGGTGCATTAAGTGCATTAGAAAAAGGCAAAAATGTGCTCATTTCCTCACACATACTTAACAAACTGTCATGTATTCTGACCCACCTTTTTAAATTCCTCCACATTGTCCAGATGTGTCTCTTGGCAAATGCAGAGGTTGAGGAATTTCTGCCACTCGTTACGTACACCGTCCCTCTGAGCCTAGAGAGGTAACATGGAGACATCGACTGTATTTAAATGGCTTCCAGAACACAACTTAAAATAGCCATTTAAAGTTAAAGACTGGGTGTTTTTAAAGTGTCTTCTACGTGATGACAGGTACCTGTATTGTGTTAGCAGCTGGATGCTTCAGTTCGATAAGTCTGTCTCCTTCATCCTGGATTTTGTTCACTTCGCCCTCGTGGGACAGAAGACTGTTGTTCTTGAAATTCTGATTGAGATCAAATCAAAGTTATTTATGTGTTTGGCCATCAGAGTACAGAACAAACACCTTCCATCATTCTGGTCAAACCTCCTCCTCACTGAGACTCTTGAGTTTTTGCACATGTTGGTTCTTACCTCATACTGCCGGCGGACGTCAGGTGGATCCACCATGCGGTCGCTCCAGTCTTGCTTCGTGATCTTGCCCTGTTCTTCTCCCAGGAAAGCCAGTTCCTTGTTGCTGCCCTGCATGTATTCATACAGGCTGTTCAGGTAGTGGCGACGCCACTTGGAGTTGTCCTGAGGAGAAAGTCAAGAAAACAGAATGAGTCGAAATTTAAAAAATGGAAATATTATTTGATATTACAACAAAAACAAATCAGTAAATCTGAGACACTAAATGGAAAGCAAGACTTGTTTATTTTCAATCTTTGATCATAATCTGAAAAAATCTGGTGCATATCATAGCAAATATCATTTTGTTGACAGACTTGTTCTTTGTGTGCAAGATTCCGCCAGATTTAAGACCAATGTTTGGGATTTTTTAAATTTAAATTTAAACATCCATTGCTCAAAAACTTTAACAAATACCACTAATATTTATTCTCTTGCTTTATCGCAGACTTTTGTCGGACTTGCAGACATCTCTGCAGCTGCATTTTCAATCTTCCGCCACATTAAAACACCTCTGGTTTGAATCTGTTTTACAGCAGGAAGACAAATATCATTGGAATATCTTTAACACTTATCAAGCACTGGATGTGTTTTGTATCTGACAAAAATCTCTCTGAATTGTGTCAAACTCACCAGAACCTATTTGTCTGTCTCCATTAGCAAAATGATAGGAAGCCCTTTTGAACCCCCAAACATTGTGAATTTGACCACCCCCTCTGTAAAAGTGGCTCTAACTTGATAAATAATCCCCTCATGGCTCTAATATTTGGGATTCTCCATCGTATTGAAGAAGAAAATGAACAAATGTGGAGAAACGTTTAAACATCAGATTGAACTGACATGAAACAGGCCTTTTATTTTGATGTGTTCCATGAATTCATTGTTTTTATGTTCAAGGATTTTATATGCAAATTTAGTTTTCACACGTTGAACAAACCGACTCACCAGCAGATTATTGTACTGTTTCTTCAGGGCTGTGTAGTTCTCCTAAAAGACAAGGCAGACACATGAGCTGTTTGAAATGATTTTTAAATTGAAATTAAAGATGGCAGGCAGTGAATGCAAAGTGTGTTTCTGAAGCAACAGAACATCGTGTGAACGTGTTTCCGTGTGTTCACCTTGCTGCCGGCAGAGCTGACGCAGAGTTGCGAGTTGTAGGCCTCGATCTCTTTGTGTAGGATGTTGTGGGCGGCGATCTGCTTCTCCAGATCTGCCATGGTGGGGCCGTACTCCTCCGCATTCACCTGTTTCTGAGAGCGCAGAAGCCAGAGGTACAACGTTAGTGGTATGTAAAGACTAAATAACCATCAAATACAGGTCTGACAGGTGCTCTTTCATTAGTTTTACTCAGTCAACACTGTGAGTTTATAAGAGGTATAGCAAAGCTGATTGGCATTTACACTCAGACGGTTTATAGGGAGCCACAAGTATGTAGGGCAGGAATGAAGCCAAATGTATTTACAGTAAGTTTAAAAGTCCCATATTGTTCCTCTTATGAGCAAATTTTTCTGCTAAGATGGTTCATTTTCCCCTGACTGTATAACTCCTGGTTTTAGGGCTGTTCTAAATTGGCTGTTTTGCTTTGAAAACCAACTGGCTGCAGCTGTTGCCGCCCCCTTCAGGAAGAACATGCTCTCTGACGGAGCTGTCAATCACAGTTTGAGCTGGAGGACGATTGGTTAGTTAGGTGTTACACAAATTCTGGCTTGAATTCATACTGATTTGTACAAGGCTGCAAGGTGGCTCAGTGGTTAGTGGTTAGTAGTTGAGGTTAA